AATGAAGAATTGTTTGTTTTTTCTAAAAGTGGGGGGGGGCATCTCTTTTGATACAAAATCCTTGTGTGCAGTAAATGCTTTAATCACAGGATATGAAAGAAATGTACTTCCCTTACAACTTACACTCTTATTGAAACTCAAAATGGGATATTTTACCTTGGTGCTCTCTCCTTGTCATGTAATATTCCAGTTGTAGAATTTGTTGAGTGGACTCTCATGAACTGTTGATCTGCTTCAGGCTGGGAAGATCTATTCTCGCTGTCGGGACTGTCCACGTTATCCCCTCTTTCAGCATTGGAATACTTCCCAGATACATTTCGGACATGTGGCACTTCTTCATACGGGTTATCTACGGGGGACGTTTGTTGGAGGGGAGAATGTGGAATCGGGGGTAATCGGGATTGGGTTGTGTTGATCATCTGTAGATAAGAAGGATTCCTTGGAGGGGTTGGCGGTGGTTCATTGTATGATTTTTCTATGGGAAATTTGAAAGAAAAATATTATTACAACGAGAAAAGCATGTAAAATTTTTTTATTTGCTTCATTGTTTGCAGAAAATGAGATAACATTATAGTCAGGAACCAGTTTGAGCCAAATTTAAACTTCATTTCACACGACAGCATTTTATCGGAGCCTAACAGCTCGAGCCAGCAAAAATGGTCGTGTAAATGCATTCGGCTCGAGCCAAGTTCAGCTCCACTAAACCCTCGGGTTGAACTCCAATAGGGTTGAGTCCCGACATGGCTCCGATCGTGTAAACGCATCTGGGCCCAACTATCGGAGCCAAAATCAGGCCCTCACGTCACATCTTCTTCGAGTTACCTCTCATTTCAATTATGATGGAGACAACATCTTTCGTAATTTCATGCAATTTCTTGAATAAGAAGTACGCGTCCTAATATATAGTAACGAATTATTGCGATAGATTGGTAGCTCAACGGGAAACAAAAAATGGCGTACGAAATTATGCGACAAAAACTTGAAAGAACGACTGAACGGAAACGGAAACTAAAAGATAAAAAACGTACGGTGACGTGTTCCTGGTAGGTTTAGATTCTTCCATAGTCCCTCTATGATAGAGAGAATCTGTGATTCTTCCTAGTAATTTAGATATCACTACAGTTGAATAGTTACAAAATGGTAATTTTGCATGACAATAACTTGAGCGAATAGGCTGTATTAAATGCATTTTAGCTGCCGTGTTTCCTGTTTATTCGAGATACTAGTACCTAAATCATAATACCAGTCATTGTCTTTTCTACCTCCATGCTCAGGCTCTTTTTCTCCTAGCTCAACAGCATCATGCCATGTAAGGAAAAAACACAAGCACGACACTAAAATAGTTTTCAGTCACTAATTAATCAAGGGCACTGTTCCGCTCGGCTCTGATCGAACTGAATTTAACTCTGGCAGATCTCGGCTTTCGTTCAGCTCCCGACCGTATGAACGCATTGGAGATAATCTCCCGTTAATCCGTGGGAGGAGCAGTAGTTCGGCTCCGATAGAATGCTGCTGTGTGAACATAGCGTATGTGCAATGCATTATATGAGACTTCACATTACATATAATAGAAAACTATTACCACACATTCATATTAATAACAAATTACTTTGTTTTTTCCTGCATCATCAAGCTAAATTTGAGATATGAAGAAACAATTCAACCATAGAAACTAATACAAAATGCAAATTTTTGCCATTCAGCAAAACATTTCAGATTCAGATTGTTCTGCAACCTCTATTGTGTTGTCATTATTGCTATTTACACATGGGATTGACCTATAAACACATATAGAAGATCAAATATAATCTTCAATTAGGATAAACTTCCTAAGATATCATTAAATTACTGATCATATTGACTCTCCTTATCTGAAAATGACAAATCACAAAGTAGATTACGCATAATAATGCATACTGTGCAGCAATTTGGGAGATCTCTCTGTCTAATTTGGTCACTTCATCAGATCCTTCTTTTAATGCTGACTTTATTAAATATTGACAGTACCCTTATACCATATAATTGCGATATGCCAAACACTTTTACTAGAATCTGCTGCTATAGCACCAGAAAAATCAACAAGCAGCCTCTCGGCTGAGATAGCTCCGCTGTTAGCAATGCCTATTTCAATTAAGAACTGAAGATATCATTAGAATATGAACAATATTTATGCTATCAAGGCAATCGGCCTTGCTTTTTTTCAACAAGAAGTCAAAAATGCTACTTTTTACCAAAAACGACAAAAATGTTCTTCAAAATTAGACAATTAAAAATATCATTAAATGAACTCATCTACAAGTAAGTGAGGTCTACCAAAGGTACATATACATCAAGTATCAAAGCAATAAGAATTGCAGTTTTCAAGAAGAAGTCGGAAAAGTAAAACATTGACACGGACGAGGATGGACAATCACTCATATGATAAGCTCCACTCGACAAAGTCGACAGCGGAGCTAATATAAGTTTATTTAAATTATAAGAACTAGGTTTCCCCATGGCAACAGGATATACTATATGATATACAATGAATTCCTGTGTATTTAAAATATATCTGTTTAATTTTTTTTAAATAATCGTCGATGTACCCAAAAATTCACCTTTAGGATTTGAGACAACCTTATTTTATTTTTCTTCAGTTAAATAGATCAATATGTGGTCCAGAATAATCAGTGTACACAATTAATCAGAATCAATAAAGTACCGATAAATGAACAGGATATACAAAAGCAAGTCGAGAATTTTTTTATTTTTTCTATGAGGGCTTGCTCATTTGATTACTGGGGGGGGGGGGTAAGTGGGAGGGGCACAATTAGAATACTTACTCTGCATCTCTTTTGAAAACTGCGATTCATTGATGATGGTCTGTGGGATTTCCTCCAGGGGAGCCTTTGACATCTGGCTTAATGGAATTCCTCCATTTTGCATAATTTCAACAGAATCAGAGGTAGGCACATTGGCATAAGAACGACTATCCATTTTAATCCTAAACATCTGACATCAAATTCCACTTTTTTACAAATGCAGCAGTGACGGCGAAACTGTACCTACGAAAATAAAATAAAAGTAAAATACATCGAGCGTGTAAATATTCAAATGAGATCGTACAGAGGTGCATACCTCACCAGGTATTTCACATCAACTGATCACAATATTACTGTATTATCTATTCTGGTGTAACCTTTTTTTTTTTCCTATCGTTAAAAGAGACACTGTAAATATAAATATAAATTATGTTAAATCTAAGTCAAATTATCATTTGGTTTTAAATGAATCAAAATTTATTCATGCATTCAAAAACAAATATATTACAGTATTAAAAATCAATTAAGAATTGTTATCATCATGATTAATACTATCATTTTCTTAATAATAATACGATATTGCTAGTAGCATTGTAGTATATATATTGACTCTCTGACTAACAGTATAATATAATTTACTAAATTTTAAACTGTTACATTTCAGTAGTTTTAAACTAATTGCAATGATTATGAAATTATTTTACTGGATATCAGTGCATATAGTTTCCTGTTTATTTTGTCAAATGCAATTTATCAGGGCTATTCCACGTGCTTTGCCGGGTGTCTCATAAAACGATCAAGGCCATATGATAATAAGCATTTGTCTGCACAAAACGTGTGCGCTCCATTTTCAAAATATTATCCTAAATCAAGGTCGAATTGTAGGAATTCGTAACTAACAATACATAACAAACGGCAGCCATGTGGTATAGTAAAGACGATCACGTTGGCACTGTGCCAGAGTCACACAGTCGTTTTACGAAAAGTTGACGATCATCTCAACAATGGTAAACTGCGTTCTTTTAAAATATATGGGGTTACTCCCATATATATAGTTAGTGAAGTGATAGGGTGAAACCGGCACTGTGAATGCTATGTAGCGTGTAAGCGTTGAACCTCCACTATATCATGTACAAATAACTACGATACTGGACGATCATGTACGTTAATATCGATACTAACAATCGGGAAATTACTTACCAAAACTGGGATCGGATTTTCCTTCTTATGAATATATAAATCGAAGTCAAAGAATGCGAAACAGCGAAATAAAACTCAAACTTGCTTGGGAGTTTGATAAACACTGTTCACAAACACTATGCTCCTTGGCTACAAAACACGATTACAAGTCAAGCCACGAGACGTGTAGTGACTCAATTTTGCCGGTTAATAAGATTCGTCGAGAGTTTTCGGACGATGTTTCGCCATTGTATTGTCAATCGAATGAAGAACCTTGGATAAATCGTATAATTTAGTCACGTCACTAGAAATTTCACTGGACACGTGAAATTGTAGGTAGTAGATAGATAGATAGATAGCCTGTGGTAGTACGATGGAAGGGTGGCGAGAAGTTATGAACTGGGCTCATGAATATTCAGTGCGAGTGTTGGCAATGGAAATATAAACAGTATTGTCACGTGACAAGGTGGGTTGGTCTGCCAGTCTCGTTTTCGTTTTCCCGCCAAGACTAATACGGTGGCGTGTACATACAAACCACACAATAACAAACAGAAAGTAAAACCGCGAGTAAATGTTTGTACATACTTTAATACTCATGTTCTTCGACGGCCACCTAACAACCTCGTTGTCATGGTGTATCCCGGAAGCTGCACTATGAGAAGCATAGTAAAAAAAAGCTATCAGTTTTCACATTCCATACATTGTATTGTCTACATTCCTACCAAAACATTCCATGCAACTAGAAATAATTATCAATTTCCATTTATGCATAAAAACAAATAAAAAAATCCTAATTTTCTTTCTGTTTATCTCATTTTTGGTATTTTTGTTTTTATTCTTTCATAGCTGTTTTTATTATTGTTACTTTGTTGTATTCTCTACCAAGATCTTAAACTGAGATAAAAATTGAAGGGCAGTGGCTGTTTATAGGATAGTACGCATAACGACGTACACAATATCAAATTCGAACATGCGCTGCGTGACGACTTGCCCTTCAAATAAAGATTATTATTAATATATTTAATAGTTCAAGTTATCGTGTTGTCATTTGCAACTGTTCATTTCAAAATAAGGACTTATTGATTGACCAATTTCATTTCAAAATAAGGACTTATTGATTAACCAATATGAGTGCGTCGTGCATGCGTGTGCATGCATGTGTCCAGGTCATTTTCCAGCAGTAATTTTAAGGCCAAAATTGGAAGGATTTTGTTCAAACATATATAAATATTGGATCCATGATGCACTATATTTAATTTTTTGGAATGGATTCAAAATGGCCATCTGGCAGCCATTTTCAGTCCCCAACACATAACACAGTCAGATACAGGGGCTCATTTAGTTCTGTTGGTCCATGTGTTCATTCATGTGACATAACTTCGAAACACATGATATGATTTGATTTGAACAACATTCCTTAGACAAATTGTTTCGTGTTATGCACAGCGGCTCAGTTTTTTATGATTCATATGCACATTTAGACATATTTTATCTATTTGTTTATTTATTTATTTATATTACACCAGTAATTTTTACAATATATCATATCATTCAAAAAAAATCTGAAATGTTTTTTTGAAAACAATTCTGTTTTTATAAATTTACAACAAAATTATGCAATTTTTTAAAATATATATAAATTGTTATCACTATACAAAACAGTATAGTTATACTATCTGTGTATAAACAACAACTTTCGGTAAAATAATTAAAGTTATGTCACATAGTAATAAAAATCAGATCCTTTTGGGCTTTTTTGATTCTTTGATGAAAAACGATTAAAATAAAACCCTGATACGATCTGATTGCATAGACACGTGATGTACAGTTTTAATTATGGTAATTGTAATCTGTTCTTGATTAAGCCGATAGCAGCAGGATAATTCACGATTTTAATTCAAAATGTCTAAGGTATAAGTAAACAGACTGCTCAATTCACTGACAGTTTCAGAGATAATCCTTTCCATTCTAGCTGTACATTGTAGAATAACACAAATTACGTGCAGTATTTTAACACTTTCTATCACAATTTAGAAATTTCTGCAGGCGGTTTCTCAGTTTCCCCATCAGGGTAGTAAGCCCAAGGTGCTACCAGACTTGGTATTCCGGCAATAGGTGCGTGTACACAGTTACGCGGTAAACGGAAAGCTTCAACCACCTGTAAGGCATCTTTCTTTGTTTCAGCACACATCCTAATGTACTGTAATACAAATTATAACAATTTAATCAAAACAACATAATTAATTGGATTCCATATCTGCCTCCAAAATGGAGACGTGAATGATGACTGATATTACAATGGAAATACAAAATTTTCTTATTTTAAAAAAAAAAATATAAAACAAACCTCTTGACGAATTTCTTTGACATGGTAAGATTTGATGTAACCTTGTTCCAGAAACCATGCCCTGTCTTGATAAAGACAGTCTAGAGCATACAGTTTACAGAACTATAAACAAAGCAGAATAAAAAAACATTAACTTAAAACTACCTCATCCATCTACCTTTCAGTCTTCAGAAATACTCTAATAAGCAACACACTCTAGTGCAGTGCGATTGTTCCTTTCGACAATTGCCTTAAATTCCTGAGGGTGTCAAGGTTGGAGTAGATAGCCAGGACAGTAAGTTGGGTTTGTTCAGTAGGACAAACATCTTCTGTAATTGCTAACCGTATCTCTTGAACCCTTTATAAGTGCTATGAATGTTCCCACCCCACCTAAAATGTTATTCTCCTTTTATTTCTATGCTAATTTAATGAAGAAATTTCGGTCAACATTTTATCACGACAAAGAAACCTATGAAATAAATGTATAGATAATCTGGTATAACTGTGAGGACCTTGAATGTAGCCAACTTTAACATAGACTTTGATGTGCAACAATGTAGTATAATGACGATGAATGTCAGTGCTATAGTGTTTGTTAGTAACACTTAGTGTAAACATTGCATTATATTGATCTAATTAATTCTTTAGTTCCCTAGCTTACAAGATTACATTAATTCTAAAGCTCACTTCATCAACTTGTAGTACCACAAGCAATGATTATACCTGAAGCCAATCTGGCTATGTCAACACGATTAGAATTGCTTTGTAAATTGTAAACTTTTTTTGTTTGTTTCATAGTCAGAAACTTGTGCTATTAGTAACTAGGTAATTAATAAAGTTATACTCTGGTTATTTTGTCTGTTCTAACCTTTTATTAACGTTTAATTATAAACTTAGGAATGATTAGGATTTGAAATTTGTGTTCACAATTAATAATAATGACTTATGATTAAAAAAATTTATAAAACTTAATTATTTTCCCAGTTTTCAGGGGTAACACCAGTTAAGGTAGATAACTTGTTGACGTCTTATGTCTTCAGTCGCTTGACTAGTTACGGGTGACTAAGAAACATTGAAGTAAACTATAATAACAGTGAAAATAACTGAGGAAAACTTTGGCTATACTAATAAAGAGCAAAATTTCACATGCATTCTCTATGAGTTGTTACATAATCTGTTAAAACCAGGCAGACAAAAACAATTTCGTTTTTTCTGCACAAGTCAATGCTTAATCAATTGAATTCCTTTTCTGGGAACTTCTTTCAAAACACGAGTGATGCAGTGTATTCTGCGGCTGTATTTTAAGAGCTTTCATCTCCTAACACAACAAAATGAACATATATAATACTTCCTTTATCTTTCTGTCAATGTATTATTATGATATTTATAGTTTTTTTGTGCATTTGAGATATATATATATATTTCATTAGACGCATAAAATCCTTAGGGAAGGATAAAAAAGGGTCTTACAGAAAGAAATTAAAAAACTTTTCTAAAAAATATAAAACAAATCAAAAACAAATATGAATAAACAATAAAGACAATTTGCAGCCAATGGTGATGTTTTTCTCTAATCATGGTCATCATAAATAGAGGGACTGTGCTCTGTACAATGTTTTGCACTTTGTCTGTGACAGTGCATTGTGAAAAAGTCACAGGGGAAAAAATTCACAGAAAAAAAAAGTCATAGAAAAATAGTCATGGAGAGAATCTATTGCAGAACTTCCACTGAAGGTCAACTTGGCTGTCACTCTGAATGATTATAATTCCTGTATTGTTTTCGTTATGTAATTATCATTGTTTATAATCTTTATTAATTTTAGACTTACAGAAGACCCCCTATGTAACATGTAATTAGTTAATTGCAAGCCATTTCAATTAACTTGGCCAAAAATCTGAAAGTTTCAGCTTTTGTGAGTTTATACTGATCGAAAAGCTAACATATTGTGCCTCATATCCACTAAGTTATTATTTGTCATTACTGTATATACATTGTACCGGTACATTAAATCACAGTCACTCTACTAGTAGAGTGACTGTGATTAAATCGTGTCATGTGTTGCTGTTGTAATTCTGCGTTGGAGTACACAAAACACAACTAACTTGGAAAGTAGTACAGGGTATGTAATATTAAAAGTTTGCCCAGATACAGTTGTGTCTATACAAGAAACAACTCAAGAATCAGGTGAGCGTCACATTTACATTGAATATTAATTTTACAATATAGTCCATCTTTGATTGGGTGACTTGGTGACACCCAAAAAGGCTGAAAACTCGATCACAACAGAATCCTCAGAACCGTTTTGTGATGTTTGGCTATTCACGATAAACTTTTGATGTGAATATCTTGCGAATATTGTAACTGTTGCGTTAATTATATTTCGCATAATGCTAGACATGACAGCAGGCAATACATCTTTAACTCACCTTGTGTAGGATGGTTTTATCGTCTTTGTAGGGGCACTTATCAACTGCAATGATGAATTGCTGCAAAACCACTGCAATAAAACATTTCAAATGCAAATTAACTATGTTTTTCCGCCCAGATTTTAGTGTAAAATGTTGCCTGTTTTTATTTATTTCTTTTATAATATTTTTTTATAATTTTGTACCCAGAAAACATAATTTTTATTGGCTTTAAGTCTTATTCAAATTTTTGAAAAAACTATGTAAAAGTTTTGTGAGTTTAAAATTTGTGAATGACGAAAAAAGTTGAAAGTTTTGCGCTCAAAGAGATAATATATCATCAGAATTATTTATCTATTTCACAAAAATTAACAAATGAGTTGTTTTTTTTAAAGCTGAAAGAGTGAAATGAAACAAACCAATTTTACATTCATTATTTATTTCTGGTTATTGAATTAGCTAGATGCTTTATGCATGTACTTCTTACTTGTGTTTCTGTATATCTGGTTATCCTTTGTGCAAAAATTGGTATGACTTATAGACTACCGTATTCGCTTATATCTAAGCTTTCAGGTGATGTACAGCTTGATATACTAAGATGCTTAGTAACTTTCAGAAAAAGTCTGAATCTCAGACAAATTTTTAAATTTCTTTCCTTGTTACCTTACTGCAGAAGAGTTGTCCCAAGCGCCGATAACAACACAAGCTAAAAACGCAAAGGCTAATGGGTAGACGCTTGTTTGTAAACAATGACACGCTATGGCCATCTGACGCATGCGTAGGTGACGACTCCCCTGCTTTAAAGCATGGAGGTAAAAATAAATTTTCACACTCGTTCATCTTAGATCATAATCAGACATGAATCAGTCTATGCAATGATACTATACATTTGTGGTTTGTAATGAGATACTTTGCAATATGAATACGAAAAATAATATCAGGAGATGTACACCCAAAAATGGTATCAGTTTCGTTATTGCACACCCTGTTTGCTGGATCTATTTCACAGCAGTATAAATTAAAAATGTGATCCCATAAAAGGCATAACATTTAAAGAAATAATGTTCAATACTATCAGTAACTAAACAATAATTTGTTTCCACAAAGTTTCATGAATACAGACAGTAACGTATTGGATGTATCTCTGGTTTGGAAATGCTTACAGATAAAATGAACATCAATTTAACAAATTTACAATCACAATATCTTAATCAAATCACAAAATAAGACGACATGCAGGCACCAGTTGAACATTATAGTCCAAATATTATGTACCTGGCCCAATATACGGTATATGCATGATATATGGTTTGAATAAAATTAACCTTGCATCTTGCACTGTAAAAGTGATGTCACATGCATATTGTGGTATATTTGGAAACACTAATGTCATTTGTGGGTGCACGGCTTGGTTTCCCATTAGGTCACAGTATAAGGTTAACCATGGTCAGTTGCATGTTGCATGGAACCTGTCAAAAGGCACAGGTCAGACAAACTGTCATAAACCTAAATGAACAAGGTGCAATCAAGCACAACTCGGTAAGCATGGGTGCTGCTCAAGGTACTGTCTCTAACTAGTACATTCTTTGCCAGAGAGGGCTCCCTTCACAGGGGTACCAGTAAATGATTTGATCACCACAATACTGTATGGACACAAGCATTTTAACAATAAATCAGAGCTTAAATGTGTTAACAAGCAATAAATCTTTTACACTAATTAATAAACTTATAAATATGATTATCCACCTTTTTGTAGGAAACTCATTGCCATAGTTACTGCATGATGTTGACAAGAATTCCAAGCACTGAATGGTTCTTCCTTTTTCGTTGAAACCTATAAATAATGAATTGACATTCTAACCAGATATAATGTTGTATTTTTGCATTAAAGTTATGCCTGCTGCCTGACTATTTGTTAGACCATATAGTCAGACATTTGACCTGTTGCATACTACTGTAAAATTATTAATTTTCACTGGGTTTAAATTTCGCTAATTTAGCATCTCAGGCATAATCATTGGGTTTTAAATTCATGGTTTTGTAATTTAGATAATGTGTTCTATGCTAAATTTTACATATTCACTGGGTTTTAATTTGGCTCATTTTCCAGTCAGCAAAATAAGCAAAATTAAAACCCAGTGAATAATTAACCATTTTACAGTATACTAGTAAACATGTTATGACCCACATCTTCATTGATATCTGTATAACTCCATGCTAACCAATTATATTTCTTACATTATCAGTTTGCTGCAACCCTTCAAAACTCACTAATTGAATGACACATATAAAAATCAAGTCAATTACAAAAAGTTGGTTCAACAGGTACATTGTACTTGATGACCGAATGTACACACCTTGTTTAGAAGTCTTGCGGCCAATGTTCTAATTTGTTTGGCATCTCTGAATAACATTGCCTTTAGGATGAAGCCCACACTGACCACTGGTAATGTATTCACTGCAAATAAGCTGGTAATGAAAACATCAAGAACAAAAAGTTTTGTTTGTAGTAAGAATAATAGATGAAAAAACCTGTTTCTCAACTTGTCTCTTTATTCAGTATCAAGCCGCATTTCAAGATGGCTGCTTCGATATGTAAATATCAGTAAATTGATTGCATGTATGTTAATATCACATGTAGACTGGGATTGCATCATATCCTACCTGGTTTGTACCAAAGACCACAATCCTCCACCCATAAATGAGAGCATTCCTTTCACTCTGCTGCTACTGAACTGACTACTGTAATAATCTAAAATCTCACGAGCTACTTGCTGAGAAATTAAATGCAAAAAACAAAATTTAAAACAAGTTTTCATCATTAAATAATATAGAGCCTTTCACAGAAAAATAATTAAAATAAACTAGAATAATTAAAATAAACTATTTTCTTTAAGCTCACAAACAGAATTCCCCATAAGTAACTGTGTTAACATTTGAAACAATGTAGCCAAGTTACATTAACTTAAATTCAAGTTACTCCATTAAAGCAATTCCATTATATTTTAATGAACATCCGCAGCTAAGTTTAATGAATGGAATAAAGATGGCATTAGCCTAACTCAGAGCTTACTGACTAGTCACATGAATGTCAGATCAAACAGATTACTGTACTTTATTTTAGTGGACTTATTTTTCACTGAATAGAATTTTTGGGTGTTTTGTATAGAATTTATTTTCACTGATTTTTGATGAGTTGAATGTAAAATATAGGAAAAAAGGTATATTCACTGGATTTTATTTTCACTGAATCATTCCTTCAGCAAAAATAGCAAAAATTAATCCTAAGCAAAAATAAAGTATTCCACAGAAGCTGCAATTACCCGTACTTTTCCAATTATTTGACATTTACCTAAACACGACCTAAAACATGTTGACTTTAACAGAACAGGATGTAGTTTATCAATACTTTTGTAAATTCAACATTTTTGTCAATCTTGTGATATATCACCCGCTGACATCATTTTTTTCAGTTGAGTTGTAGTTTTCAGCATATATCGAGTTACTGTAAAATGACTAATTTTCACTGGGTTTAAATTTTGCTGATTTACCATTTCAGGCATATTCAGTGGGTTTTAAATTCACGGTTTTATCATTTTGATAATGTGTTCTATACTAAATTTTACATATTCACTGGGTTTTAATTTAGCGCATTTTCCAGTCAGCGAAATAAGCAAAATTAAAACCCAGTGAATAATTAACCTTTTTACAGTAAATAAATAGCCTGGATATCTGACTAATGTTCTGTTGTTTACCCACTCTCTACAACTCTCTGAAAAGGCTGCTAGGATTTTGCTTACTATTATTCTTTTATATAATTGTGCAAAAAAAGATAAAATAAGATGACTGTTAGTATTTACCTGCATCAGAACTGTATTGTCACCATCGAATGTTACAAAGATGTCTGAATCGTTCTTCAGACTGGAAAGTCTGTTTTCAGCAATGTAACCCTACATACACATAGAAAGTGGTTTCAGAGATGACAATATGTACTAACAGTAGTGATTGGTTGAACCTATACTACGTGATATGCCAGATTTAATTGGTTGAAAGTAACCATATGTGATATGGTAAATTGTTCTTGATGAGTGATAATTGGAATCGCTGTTCAACTGTTAGGAAATATGATGTTGATATTTCCTGCATTTTACTCCAAATATAGCAACACATAATTCTGCATTCTACGTCGAATAAATAAATTAGCAGAATATACTTGTTTATGTTTTGTACACAGTGTAAAAGATGCAAACGATGCAATGGCAAAAGATTTTTAACATGAACATTTATTAGTCGAAAGACGTCATTAATACATATCAATTATTTACACATATTATCGCATGTTCATGTTAAATCATTTTGTATTAAGGGTACAATTGAAAATATATTAAAATACATTTCACATTACAATGGTGTAAAAACTTGTTTCACAATGGGGAACATTAAGTATGAAGATTTTTTTAAAAAAAAAAAAAAGTACATTTATTAAAAGACACATTGTCGTTATACATAAATCAATAAAATACAGGTGAGCGTCACTTCTGAACTGACATTCAGATAAATTTATTTTAAAAATTGTGGGTATATTGTTAATGACTTACACTAAGTATGGCAACTGTTGAATTTCGAAAAATCATTATAATGTTTGTACTTATATGATACATCTAGCATAAATTAGCTGTTCACCATCATATCTAACAATGGCTTCATTGATGCACCACCTGTCTGTAAAACGTTCTGTATTTCCATTGCTCAGGTAGTAGTTGTATTCGCCGTCAATCCTTGAATGTAGTCTTGAGTTGAAAACCTTGACAACATCGAGCGGAGTTTCTTCATTTAAGGCGTTTCTTCGTGATAAGTGAATGGCCAGTTTTGCTGACGTCAGAATGTAGTTTACCAGTTGTTTTAAGAATATTGTTGTTCATTGGCATGGTTATCAAATATGCATGTATTACCTGTATTAAATATACCTTACAAAAAATCTCTCTTATAGGATTCCTTGAGTATTTTTTAAGCAGATTTTAATAGGATTCCTTTACTATTCTCTTTGGATTTTAATAGGATTCCTGTAATATTCTTATAGGATTTTTTAGCATCCTTACAAGATTTTAGTAGCATTTCATTAGTATTATTTTAAGATCTTAATAAGATTTTTCAACTATTTTCATGGGATTGTATTAGGATACCTTTAAATTATGGTAACTGTTTTTTAAAGTCATTCATTTCTCAGACATTTTCTGCTGACATTTAATTATTAATTCTTATCAAAATTATTATTATTCATATACCAAAAAGGAATGTCAAACTTTCTTTATGATGATAATAAAGTATTCTATTCTATTCTATTCTATTCTATTCTATTCTATTCTGAAGGAAATTTTCGTGAGGAACTATGGACTATGCTGTCACAGTAGATTGTGAGCTATAGTGCTGATCTATGCACAACCTTTTGTTGGTTGACAAAAATGTAACCACATAACATCATATTTAGTGGCATGCATGTTGAAAGGTCAGACCAACATGCATTCATCAGGTCATAGGTCAAAGATTAACCGTAAAATATGACAAATTTTCAATAAAATTATAGTGTTATAAATATTGAGAGTTGAGCTGATAGACGTTATATAAATAATTTACTTCTAACAGAAATACCACACTACACAATATGACAAAAGTAACATCCACAGAGTTTAACAACTGATTTTCTTTACTGGTTTCAACGGGGAATTGTAGTATTTATGTGCAGTGACCTCAAAATGTGACCTTTAAGTCACAGCTTTCACTTTCACAATATTATTTGAATTTAAAAAGAAAACAAGCAGCCTCTCGGCTGAGATAGCTCCGCTGTTAGCAATGCACATTTCAATTAAAGAACAGAAGATATCATTAGAAAATGAACAATATGCATAGTATCAATGCAATGGGACTTGCTGTTTTCAACAAGAATTCAAAAATATAATTTTTAACCATAAATGATTGTGGTTTTTAACAAGAAGTCAAAAATATCACTTTTTACCAAAAATGACAAAAATATTCACCAAAATTAGAAAATTAAAGATATCATCATGAAATGAACAAATCTGAGAGAGGTCCACATGTAGTACCTATATATGTAATAGCAAAGCAATTGGACTTGTGGTTTTTAACAAGAAGTTGAAAATATCACTTTTTACCAAAAATGACAAAAATATTCACCAAAATTAGAGAATTGAAGATATCATTACAAAATGAACAAATCTGAGAGAGATACACATGTAGTACCTATATATGTAATATCAAAGCAATTGGACTTGCGGTTTTCAACAAGAAGTCGAAAATATCACTTTTTACCAAAAATGACAAAAATATTCACCAAAATTAGAGAATTGAAGATATGATCATGAAATGAACAAATCTGAGAGAGGTCTACCCAAGGTACATATACACCAAGTATCAAAGCATTCAGGCTTGTAGTTTTCAAGAAGAAGTTGAAAAAGTAAAACATTGACATGGACGACGGACACCGGACGACGACGACAGACAATCACTCATATGATAAGCTCCGCTTGACAAAGTCGACAGCAGAGCTAAAAAAACAGCACAGACACTCACCATGCCACCACAGCATTCTCTACATGTCTGCAGACACTTAATGCTCTGCCATGTACTGTAAGCTTTTAATCCTGATGTCAATGCTTGTAGATATCTATTGTCAACTACCGGTACATCTTTTTGTTCATGGTAAGCTGTATCAAGTATTTCACCGGTGTATCTGTAAAATAAAAATATAGTTTTTACTTTTGAAGTTGTACTAGTATTCCTACAGCATTTCCTAGAAAATACTTATTTATAAACTACATGTTAAGGTAGAATGTAACTTTTAACGCTCAGAGTGATGACAATATTTTGTGTCAAAATCTGTCTATATTTAATCGTTTCAGTTTTGGTCCATATAGTACTGTAAAATACTTTATTTTAATTAATTTTCGCTGAAACGACTTTTTGGGTGTTTTGCATGGAATTTATTTTCACTGATTTTTGACCAGTTGAATGTAAAATATAGGGAAATGGGTATATTCGCTGGATTTTATTTTCACTGAATCATATAAATCAGTGAAAATAGCGAAAATAAATTCCAAGCGAAAATAAAGTAATTTACAGTATATGAATTTTTTTATTTAGTAACAGTTTCCATAAATCACAATGAAAACACATCTGTCCTGGCCAGTCGAACACAAGCATCTGCGAGCCTTAATCAAGGTTCCCCAAAGTCACACTTAGTAAATAAATCCCAGTCAGTGGATTAGCCTTCCCATTCATTAAGTCTGTGGCAGACTCACCCAGAGTAGGTGGTGTTCAGCCAAAGGTAGGATTTGAACTTGGGGTATACAGATCATGGGTCTGAGAACTGTCGCCTGGCACAAGTATAGTATTCGCCAAGCGTTGGATGGTTCACCCACCAACAGGGAACGTGAGCTGGGATTAGACCGTCGTAATTGTAGACACACTGGGATAACACAGGAAACATATAATACGAAAACACTGCTTTGCAAATTACTTACCTCTGAGCAAAGAGCAGACCAAGACATGCAGCGAGGTGTGGCATTAGTCGTAGTTGATGTGCCTGGTAGTCTAAAATGAAATATTCTGCATCATTTGAGGGGCCAAACTGTTTCCTCCTAATAATACAAAAATAAATACATGAAATTATATTTTTTTTTATACTGCGAGTTCCTTTCTCCCTGCATTCTCAATATCCAAATCTCAAAGATTCTAAATTCTATCTATCAATAAATTTAATATGAGTATACAATGAGAGATGTACTCACTTTAATCCATATCAATGGCTATCTCCAAACCAACCTGACAAAAACAAACATTCCCATTATCATTTCTATGAAATATCAAGTTTTTCTAAATTTTTTTGCAAATCTACTGAGCATATTACAACATACTATGGAAAATTACTGAGCATATTACAATGTATTATTTGATATTACTAAGTGCATTACAATGCATTATGGGAAATAAC